ATCAAGTTCAATCGTCAGTACTCGAGTATTCAACAAAATACCTCAAGATGAACAAAAGTAACAAATGAAAGAAAATCAGGACTATGATTTTAGTTTTTGCAAGTTACTATGAAGTATTGCCTCTTCAGAATAAATATAGAGGCCACTTATGATTATCTGTAAATACATATGGAGATACTCAGCAGTGAGGGAGAAGAGCAATTTAAGCTAAAGGACAAAGTTGGCACAAGAACAAATGGGTACATAAGAACATCCTGGTTCAGACCAAAGGTCCATCTAGCCCAGTATTCTGTCAATGCCAGATGTCCCAGAGGGAGTGCAGGGAATCTTCAAACAATTCCTCTCCCATCACCCATTCCCAGCCTCTGACAGAGGCTAGGGACACCATTCCTACCCATCCTGGCTAATAGCCATTGATGGACCTAATCTCCATGCAATTATCTAGTTTTTTCTTGAACCTTGCTAAAGTCTTGCTCTTCACAAACTCCTCTGGCAAGGAGTTCCACAGGCCACCATATGCTGCGTGGTTTTGTTTGTTTTAAACCTGCTACCTATTAATTTCATTTGGTGACTCCTAGTTCTTACATTATGGGAATAAGTAAATAACTTTTCCTTATTCACTTTCCTTTTCTAGTCATGATTTTATTGACCTCTATCATATCCCCCCTTAGTCTCCTCTTTTTTTAAGATGAAAAGTACCAGTCTTTTAATCTCTTCATATAGGATCCATTCCAAACCCCTAATCATTTTCATTGCCTTTTTCTGAACCTTTTCCAATGCCAATATATCTTTTTTTGAGATCAGACAACCACATCTGCATGCAATAATCAAGATGTGGGCATACCATGTTTTTATATAGAGGCAATAAGATATTTTCTGTCTTATTCTCTATCCCTTTTTTAATGATTCCTAATATTGTTTGCTTTTTTGATTGCTGCTGCACATTAAGTGGCTGTTTTCAGAGAACTGTCCACAATGACTCCAAGATCTCTCTTCTGAGTAGTTGTAGCTAAACTAGTCCCCGTCATATTGTATGTATAGTTGGGATTATTTTTTTCAATGTGCATTACTTTACATTTACCATGTGATGAAGTGGGTTGCCCCTACAAAAGCTTATGATACCATCTACATGTCTTGTTAGTCTTTAAGGTGCTACTAGACTATTTGTTGTTTTTTAACTTTTTCCCATCAGAGACTCACTCAGATACCCCTCTGATGCTTTTTTACCTTTACCAACATTACATTTAATTTGCCATTTTGTTGCCCAATCACTTACTTTGGTGAGATCTTTTTGAAGCTCTTCAGTTTGCTTTGGTCTTAACTATCTTGTACAGTTTAGTATCATCTGCAAATGTTTCCACCTCACTGTTTACTCCTTTCTCCAGATGATTGAGTACAAACTGGTCATGGATAAAAATAGGTTGGAAATTAGGTTTCCAACCATCAAAGGAATGAGGTATAGAAACAGTTTTCTAATAAGAGTAGAAGGAAAACAACCCATGGGGAGGGGGTTGGACTCAGTGATCCACAAGGACCTTTAAATTCTTGTGTCCTATAATCCCTGTGTATGTGGCTATAAAATATGTATACCTCCTTCGTATAGCCCTGTTTGTGGGTTGCAAATGCAGAAGCCACATGGATACATACAGCGTGCAATGAAACTGTATTCCAAATATATAAAGTAGCTATAATGACTGTAGTACTGTGATAACACTGGCATTGCTAACTGCTTTTTGTCACTAACTTGCTGTTACTTGTGTAGGGTGGGGCTGAATTTCTGCTTGCTATCAGCCAGCTAAAAGGAGAGCGCTGCACTGGGAGTGGGTGTGCTCACTCCAATTGTTTAGTTAATTATCTTGCAGAGCTGTTAATTGTTGCTATGTAAATACAGCTCATGCCAGGAGGGTGAAGGAATCTGAGGTGTGGCTATGTAAATCCAATTTAGCCAGCCCTGATGGAGGATCAGTGTTGGAATGGAATGTGGTGTATTGTAACTAATTTGGGGCTGTTGTGGGAGTCTTAAGTCATGCTACCCCTAAATGTGGGAACTGTAAAATATGACACCAGTGCTTACAGGAGAGACCCCATCATTGTAAGAGGTCTCAGAGGAACAAACCTCCCCCCTGCCAGAGTTTAGTGAACTGAGTTGGGGGGGGGGGGCGGAGGGCTTGAGTCAGCCTGCTTCATGCCTGCCAGATGTGAGCTGTAAGACTGGCTCAACCTGCCCCTTTCCCCCTGGTTTTAAGGACAAACCTAAAGCAGACTTCATGAGGAGTCTTTTTGCTAGTCCAGTGGAAGCTGGAATCTTTGGCCATCCTAGATGGTGGATAAAGAGTTGAAATCATTAAGAGCTGAAATCAATGGTTTGGCCGGAAGCCAGACCCATTGCAGCCAGTGGAGCAGCCGGTGGGAATGACTGGCAGGGGCGGGGGGGGGGGGGCCGCGC